TTGGAGTATAGTGTTGTAATGGACCTCACTGTATAACCAATGTACTGGAGTGGAGTGTTCGTAATGGACCTCACTGTACACCCAATTTATTGAAGTGTAGTGTTCGTAATGGACCTCACTGTACACCCAATGTATTGAAGTGTAGTGTTCGTAATGAACCTCACTGTACACCCAATGTATTGAAGTGTAGTGTTCGTAATGAACCTCACTGTACACCAATGTATTGAAGTGTTGTGTTCGTAATGAACCTCACTGTACACCCAATGTATTGAAGTGTAGTGTTCGTAATGAATCTCACTGTACCCCCAAAGTATTGGACTGTAGTGTCTTGTAATGAACCTCACTGTACACCCAATGTATTAGAGTGTAGTGTTCGTAATGAACCTCACTGTACACCCACTGTATTGAAGTGTATTTTGTTCGTAATGAATCTCACTGTACACCCAATGTATTGATGTGTAGTGTTCGTAATGAACCTCACTGTACACCCAATGTATTGAAGTGTAGTGTTCGTAATGGACCTCACTGTACACCCACTGTATTGAAGTCTATAGTGTTCGTAATGAACCTCACTGTACACCCAATGTATTGGAGTGTAGTGTCTGTAACGGCCATAACTGTACACCCAGTGTATTGTATATCCGCCGTTGTCTTCGTATGTAGGCATCATAAAATACACATATGCCATATTATACAAATCAATTCGAAAATAACAACTTTTTATCGCGAATATGGCAAAATAGATCAACGTTTTCAATTGAACTTGCGTTATTGTAGTATGCAGATATCAGTCTGAACTATGAACAAACTACACTCAAATTAATAGTCCCGACAACATTGTAATAGATTCACACTCCACACGCATTTTCTTTTTTTGAAGATTGGTTGCTACGATAAGTTCGTGGACATGATACTGGACAATGTGACTACATCGGCAATCATCGGAGGCAGTCTGGTTCTTTTTGAGGTAAGTTAATTATATTTGATTACACTGTAGTTGATGTACGCTTCGGTTATTCCAATTTCATTTGATTTTACTTCCTAGTTAATTCATTAATAAATTAACATAACATTTGTTTACACTACCCAGTTAAACTGTGCGTCATTTAGTGTAGTATTATTGTTTATACTATACAGTCAATCCATGCCTTGATTTGTCATCAGTTTATTTTGTTCAATCGACTCATGTTTTGTTCGTGTTAATATTAGTCAACCATATTTAAATATTCCGTTATTCAGATTGTTGGGATCTTGTTTACTTGTTATTTGATGAAGGCGATTGAAAAAGAAAACAATACGGAACCAAAGCCGAATAGAAGAAGAAGACGATCAACAGGTACAATTAATAATAGTGTTTCTGACTATACTAATAAGTAGGTGTTGTTGCGATATATTGTGCGCTCACAGCTGGAATCGTAGATATGGCTGGGATGGAATATTATGAATTGCCCTCCAATCGTAGATATGGCTGGGATGGAATAGTATGGATTGCCCTCCAATCGTAGATATGGCTGGGATGGAATAGTATGGATTGCCCTCCAATCGTAGATATGGCTGGGATGGGATATTAGGGATTGCCCTCCAATCGTAGATGTGGCCGGGATGGGATATTAGGGATTACCCTCCAATCGTAGTTATGGCTGGGATGGGATATTAGGAATTGCCCTCCAATCGTAGATGTGGCCGGGATGGGATATTAGGGATTACCCTCCAATTGTAGATATGGCTGGGATGGGATATTAGGGATTACCCTCCATCGTATATATGGCTGGG